CCCCCCCCCGTGAGGTTGCACTTCTACTGTGTCGCCGTTCAAGGCACCTTACGGGTAGGTGCGCACACAGCGAACCTCCGGGCGGGAGCCGCTACCTTCGTCTGAGAGACGGGACGGGAAGGACCATGAGGTTAACCTGAGGTCGAGTCCCATCGATAATTCCTGGTGGGTGGGTTCCGCCCAGGGGGCCTGGCTCCAGGGTCCTCAGGGCTGTCCCCTCAGGACCACCTGGCCCCACACTTCAGTCTCCATCTGTAGGAAGCGGGGAGGCAGGTAAAGGACTGGGTAGACCGAGGCTGTGCAGCCATAGGGTGTGCTGGTGGCCGGAGCTACCCGGCTGCCTGGGGTCGAGGGGACATATCACACTTGCTCCTGCCAGGCCCCGAGCCAACGTTCCCTCTGAACTTTCTATGACTCACTGTAACCTTCGGGGCTGGAAGCAATGAGTCGGAGTCCAGCAGAGCTAAGCTGGACCCCAGGGATAACCTGAGCTCCGAGGACGGCATGTTCTCTGAGGTCCACGCGCTTAGCAGGGACGTGAGCAGCTGGGCAGGCGGCTCCCCTTGGCCCTGAACTCGTGCCTCAGTCCCATTCTGGAGGCAGGAGAGTGAAACCCGAGTGAGCCTCAGTGATCAACGTGACTGTGAATCACCCACCTCAAACTTACCCTAATCTACTGTCACTAAGTTCCAGAAACCATGGAAGGACCATTTTACCGGTTTTACCCTCAGAGTAGACTTTACCAAGAAAATCATGGGTCTCTTGCAGCCGCTTCATGATTTATATGCCCCCCTCTCTCACCTCCAGATGGGAGCCAATTAAATCACCTAGTCTGTGCTGAGTGATGGGGTTGAGCCTCGTTTTATGTACTCCAGCCTCAATGGGGGAGACACGTGATGAACCTCCTCGTGGAAGTTAAGAATGAATGGGCATTAATTGCTGAAGATGAGATCCTTAGTCAACTAATTTTGTGATAAAATATTCCAATAAAAAGCCATTTGTCGTCTCCATGAAGATATACTAGACAAGCTGAGATAAATCTCAGAGCCAAGGCGAGGGCACGGTTGTTGCTGCATTGGGGAGCAGGAGGATTTGGGGGGCCCGTGATGCTGGGGTTTGGGCCCTGTCTCTGCAGGAGCAGCCCCGTGACGTGTCCCTCGGCAGTGTCTCGGGGCATCCGAGTTAACATTTCAGGATGTTTATTATGCGGTTCACCCAGACGAGCAGCACCACTGGGCAAGCCCTGTGGCATCCATGCCCTGTGGGCAGAGGCCAGAGCAGCTGTCTTCTTAAATAATTCTGCCCAAAACGCCACTGGAGCTCATTTCGTGGAAAAATTCCTTCATCCTTACATCTGGGACAGAGCAGTGACAGCTTTTGACAGAACTGGTCCTCTGTCTACCTTACTCTGTAAACCGATGAGTTTCCATTTTTAGTTCACAGAATTCAGCTTCGCGGACATATTAATTCAGCCCGTGCCACGTGGCCAGCAGGGGGCGCCGGGACAAGTTAGATGGAAGCTGCCCTGCCCGGGGTCACAGGCAGGGGCGTGGGGCAAGGCGAGCTGACGGGGACACGCACATGCCCCGGCGAACCCTCGGCTGGGGAGAGGGACCAGCCACCGCAGAACAAGAGTCCTTCCCGTGGCCGTGGGAGAAGCCACACCCTGGGCTCCACAGATAAAGACTAATACATTCCTGATTTCCCCTCACAGACCTGTTCAGGGAGACCGTTGCGGCAGCTGGCGCCCCGGGAAGCCAGCGGCTGGCCAGAGGCCCGTGTGCCGCCCCGACTCTCCGCCGCCCGCTCCCGCGTCCTGGCAGCCCGCCCGCAACGTCGCCCGGCTCCGGTGCTTCGCCTCCCAC